CCGGCAGAGCTGGGGGGTGGAGCCCAGGGCTGGGATAGCTGGGGCTGCGGGTTGGGATTGAGAGGCACCGGCGGAGCTGGGGGGTGGAGCCGAGGGCTGGGATAGTGGGGGCTGTGGGTCAGGATTGAGATTCTCTATTGTCCATGAGATGACCTATGTAGGGGTGATGCCCTGAGGCCCTAGGCAGGATCGGGGGATCCCATGGGGCTGGGGCATGGAGAATTCCCCTCCCCCCCCCAGGGTTTGTGCCCTTCTGAAGGTGGCCCTGTCCCCTAGGTCAGCCCCCTCTGGGTTCGAAAGCTGCCACATGAGACTCCCCAGCCCAGGCCCGTCTCCTCCCGCCCCAGCCAGGCGGTTTCTGTTGTTACCCAGCCCAGCGGCGGTGCCGAGGGGGATCGGACCCCGTTCTGCTGGGTGCCCTGGCCTGCCTGCGCAACGGGAGCTGAGAGCTGAGGGGCGGTTTTTGCTCTTGGTCAGCTCCATGTAGGGCCAGGAGCCGGCCTGCAAGCTGCTATTGCAGCTGGAGCTGACCTGGGACTGAGCCCCCGCGACCCTCACCGGCCTGTCAGAGACTTTCTGCCTTGGAGAAACCTGAGCTGGGGGGAACCTGCTACCGTCTCCCAGCCCCCTCTGCTGGCTGGGCCCAGGGACCTGGCAGTGCAGCCCCACCCTGGGGCCATGGCACCCGGCCCCCATCCCAGTGCCGTCTGCCACGCATTCCCATCGAGTCTCACAGCGCCCCCTGCTGGAGAGGCTGGGCTGGAGTAGCTGGGAGCTCCCCCCACAGCCAATGCTCCTGCTCTGCTCCCCACAGCGCCCCCTGCTGGAGGAACGAGGTGGCTCTCCCCACAACCAGCACTTCCAGTCTGGTTGTTCTTTGCTGTGCCCACCTCCGATAGGCCCCAAAGTGGATTTTTCTGCTGCTGTAGCTGTACAAGGCTGTTCCCCTCTGGGGTCTCTTGCTCCCAGAATGCACTGTGCCTGCCTCCACCCAGAGCACCCCATCCCCTTGGGAGGGAACAGCCCTGGTCCCATGGGGCATTGCCCTAGTCCCCCCCCCCCCTGCCCTGGAGGGAGCGTTGCCCTCCCGGCCAAGCTCCCAGCCCCCTGAGCACCTGCTACAGGTGGAGCTGGGGGTGGGGATCAGGTTGGGGTGGGGGGCAGGTTTGGGGAGGGTGTCAGCCCCAGGCTATCCCAACCCCTAGCTAGGGGAGGCTGAGCAGCCTGGCAGTCAGTGCTCCTGGTAGGGGAGAGCCCAGATAAGCTGTAATCCCAGCCACAGGGGGTGGCTCCTCTGGCCAGCCCAGCCCCCCAGCGCTGCCAGGATGGGGCTGTGCTGGAGGAGTGCTTGCCCCTCCCAGCTCAGATGTTTCCTGTGCCCCTCCATGTCTCCCGCTATGTGTTTCCTCGCCACTTCCTTTCCTAAACAACCATCTGCTGTCACCGCGCCCCGCCAGAGGCGGCTGCGTTCCCATGGCAGCCAGCCTGTTCCCAGCATCCTCCTGGTTTTAACTGGGTGATCCCAGCTCAGGCCCTGGCATCGCTTTGCGTGGGGACAGGTGGGGTGCAAAGTCCTGGTCTTGCCATTGTGATGGGCACATCCATCCTGCTGTCGCTCCCCCAGGGGTGACATGCTGGGTCCTACGGCAGTGATCAGTGCAAGGCCGGGGGACCGAGCCATGGGCCGGGGGGCAGGAGGGGAGCTCCTGGCACAGTCAGTGCCATCAGGGGGAGCTGGGATCCCGGGCTAAAGGCTGTGCAGGGGGGAGGGGACCCCCTGCTCCCACCCACGTGGGCAGGGCTCTGGCTCTGGCTGCCTCTCACTCTGGCCCAGGACAAATATTTACCCAGCTTTACAAAGGGAAGCGAGGGCTTTGCGGCTGGATTGCAGAGCTGGCGCCTGGCTGGGGTGACCTGGAGCGGGGTTTCCCCGGCTGCAGGGATGCCGGTGCCCTGGGGGGGCCGGCTTGGATGGGGCCCCGGCTGGCTCGCAGCCAGGGGATTTTCCTTGGCTCGTTGGTCGGGCCGATCGCGTTACGGCCGGAGAGCAGGACGCGGCCCAACGGGAGCTGTCGCCCCGCGCGGCTCGCACCAAACGTTGTTCTCGCTCCAGCCAGACGTGGCCCGTCTGGCTCCCGGCCCCGCTGGCGGATCCGTCTCCAGAGGCTCTCCTGGCTCCGCTCCCCCTGGGCACCCTGCCAGCAGCTGGAGCCACATGGCCTCTTGCTCTGGGGCCGTGATCCCTCACCCTGAGATAAGTAGTTAATGATGAACCAGGTGGCTCTGGGCTCATCCACCCCTGGAGCCAAGATGGGGCAGGGCCCAGGGGAAAGAAGGGGGGATGCTGGAGACATGTGGGGTGGGATTGGGGATGCCCCCCCGAGGAAGTGTGGCAATGTGGGGGGCAGTGGGCAAAGGCAGGGGGTGCGCTGCAGGGGAGGAGGGCTATGGGAGGGGGAACAGGGCAGATGGGGGGAGAAGTCCTGGGGGTTACAGTACAGAAGGTGGGGGGCAGGGTGGGGCTGAGGGGGCAGAGTGAGTTGCAGCACAGGTTGTGGGGGGCAGTGGGTGGAGGTAGGGGTGCAGGGGAGGGGGCAGGTGGTTGCTGTGGGTGGGGGCAAAGGTGTAGTGGGGGGGTTGCAGTGTGAGCTGTGGGTGGGAGCAGGGGCACAGTGCGAGGGTGGGGTTGCAGTGGGCTGTGGGTGGGAGCAGGGGTGCAGTGCGGGGGGGGGGGTGCAGTGTGAACTGGGGGGGGGGGGGGGGGGGGGGGGGGGGGGGGGGGATTGCAGTGTGGACTGGGGGGGGGGGCAGGGGTACAGTGCAGGTAGTGGAGGGTACAGGTAGTGGGAGATGGGGGGTTCTTGCTCTTAGAAGAATTCATCTCTGCTTGTGTTTTCCCTTAAAGCAAAGCTGAGCGAAGCCCCCAGCATGTGGGACCCACCCAGGGGGGAAGTGGGGGCTGCGGGTGACAGGTGGGACCCACCTCGGGGGAAGGGGGGCTGTGGGCGGCAGGCAGGACCTGCCTGGGGCTGGCAAGGGCTGGGGGGAGGGGAGAGACTGTCCCTTCCTGGGACACTTTGGCCAAATGCCCTCTTTCGAGACAGCTCGGAACACGCTGCCCCCTCCCCCGTGCCAGCAGCTCCCTCCCGGGTGACTGGTCCCCTGGGGCCTCGGGGCCGTGCTGTCCCACACAGAGTTTGCACCCGTGAGCTGGCTGGCGTGTTGGGTCAGCGCTGCCCTCTGTGGGGCCGAGCTGGCAGCTCAGCCTTGTGTCCTAGGCCCCCGGCGGGGGCAGCAGCTGGTGCCAGTCGTGGGGCCCGGCAGTGACCACGCTCCTCCCCACAGGGTCCCGCCAACACGACTTCAGCGGGAATGGCACGGACGGGCAGACGCCGGTGGAGTTCAAATCTCTGCAATGGTTCGGAGCGACAGTGCGGTCCCACGGCAGCTCCATCCTGGTGAGAATGGCCCGGGGGGACCCCGGCTGGGTAGTGCCCCCCAGGGGTGGGCTGGGGCTGATTGTCTGCCTGGCTATGGGGCAGGGGGGTTCCCGCCTGGCCCCACGCTGTGCTGGGGTAGTTAGTAGGTGGGTGGACGCCATCAGGTACCAGGGCCTCCTATGCCTCGGTCTCCCCTGTCCCCAACTGCTGCTTGCTTTGTCCCTGCCCAGGCCTGCGCCCCCCTGTACAGCTGGCGCACCCTCAAGGAAGAATCTGGCCGAGACCCCGTTGGCACCTGCTACCTGTCTGTCAGCAACTTCACCAAGTTCGTGGAGTATTCGCCCTGCCGCTCAGGTACCGGCTCCTGGGGCTGGGCTGGGGGGCAGTGGGCAGGAGACCCCAAACTCCTTGGCTCCCCCAGCAGCAGATAACCCCTGCTTTGAGGGGTAACCAGGAAATCTTTCCATCCCAGGCCCCAGGCCTCCCTGACAGCCCCAGCGCTGGGCTGGGCATACGTTCCCAGAGGATGGGGTCAGAGTGGGTGGGGACAGCGTTACCTGGGAAGGCAGGGAGAAGAGCCTAGTGGCTGGTGCAGCGGGCTGGGAGCCCAGAGTCCCACCCCAGAGTGCTGGTGTCCAGGATCAGAGCCCCCGCCCCCCTCCCAGTCCCGCTCCCCTCCCCCCCGAGTCCCTGGCCCCCATCCCACCGCTCCCCCCTCACTGGTGTTTCTCTCTGCAGATCTGAACTCGGTGGCGGGGCAGGGTTACTGCCAGGGTGGCTTTAGTGCTGAGTTCACCAAGGTGAGAGGCCCTGATACCATGCGGCTGTGCCCCTGAGCTCTGGTAGCAGCAGAGCGCCCCCTGCCTGCTGCCCCCAGCATGTGTATGGGGGAGAGCTGGGTTCCTCACCGGGGCCTCCCGCGGTCAGACCCCGCTGAGCGGGGCTGGGTCTCGTACCTCCCGCCCCACAGAGCTGTGCCTCGAGCCCAGACCCACAAACAGGCACCTCCTACGGGAGCGCTCTCCTAGCTGGTAGCAGTTGCAGGTCCCTTATCCTATCTGTGGGTGCCCCCTAGAGGGAGCATGTTCTTATGTGCAACACCTTGCGTGTTGGGAGCTGCTGGATGCTGGGAGTGGGGCCTTGTGAGGAGCCCCCCCAATACCTCCGGCCCATCCCGGTCGCATCCCCCGTGCCCCACAAGCGGGGCATCGCCCTGTTGGGCCAGCTGGGCGGGTCTCTGCCTGCTTTCCCCCCCCCCCCCCCGGTGCCAGGGCAGGTCTACGGCGGTGTCACTCATGCCCAAGGGGACACAGAGAGCAGCAGCCCTTCCTGTGTCTCCCCGACTCCTTAGGGGGCAGCACGGGGCCCCTCTCTGCCCGTCGCAGCTGGGCCTGCAGACACCAGCCCTGCCCCACTCTGCTACCCCTCTGTGGGAGCCCTCCCTCCCCAGCTCTGGGGTGGGGGGACACTGAACCTGCTCATCCCAGCTGCTTCCCTTGTGGCCAAGGGGGGAGCAGTAGGGGTTTGGTGGGGGAGGGGTGAACCCGGCGACACCCCACTGGGGATAATCTGTCCCCCGCCCCCCAACTCCCAGGCAGGATCTTGCCTTGTGGCTCTGACTGGGCTCTTTGCTCTGCAGACGGGGCGAGTGCTGCTGGGAGGCCCTGGAAGCTATTTCTGGCAAGGTGAGTGCCCCCACCCCCAGCTACTGCCCTCCCACACCATCTTCCCCCCCCCCACTGCCCTCCCCACTGTCTTTTCCCTCCCCCCACCCCCTGCCACTGCCCTAACCGTCTTTCCCTTCCTCCCTCCCCCTGCTACTGCCCTCCCCCACCATCTTTCCCCTCCCCCCACCCCCTGCTACTGCCCTCCCCCACTGTCTTTTCCCTCCCCCCACCCCCGTCACTGCCCTACCCCACCGTCTTTCCCTTCCTCCCTCCCCCTGCTACTGCCCTCCCCCACCAGCGGCTACTGCCCTCCCTACAGTCTTTCCCCTCCCCCACCATCTTTCCTCTCCCCCCCCCCCCCCCCCCCCCCCCCCCCCCTCCCCTCTTCTCCCTGTTCTACCCCTCCCTGGGGTACCACTCCTTCCCCTGTTCCCCCAGTGCTGGACTCTCAGCCGCCTGCCCCATCTCCCCCCAGGCCAGGTGATCTCAGCCACGCAGGAGCAGATCAAGGAGGCCTATTACCCCGGGTATTTAATCCTGGAGACCCAGGGGCAGCTGCAGACACGCCAGGCCACCCCCAACTATGACGACAGCTATCTGGGTGAGTGCCCCGGCTGATGGGGGAAGGTACCCTCTGGGTGGGGGAGAGGGATAGCTGAATGTAGAGAGAGGGCCCCCAGTATTTGGTGGGTTACCCTTTCTAGGTGCCTGTGGGAAGCGAGCCGGGGGCTTGGCCCAGCTCCCAGCAGACCAAGGCTCCTTACTGCAGGTTCATGGGCAGTCTCGCCCGGGGAAGACAGGGGGAACTGGGCCTTGCCCAGGGCAGTCCCTGCTCCCCAGGCCTGGGCATAGGCATTGCACCTGGCCGTGCTGCCAGCTTCAGGGTCTGAGACTCGAGTGCTGCTCCCCAGTACCAAACGGAGAGACGTGCCCAAAGCCGGTCTCGCTTGCTGAGTGCCCCCCCCTGCAGGGGTGCATGGTGACACCTGCCGTGGGCTGGGGGAGATGGGGCAGGGGTATTCCTCATGGGGGGGCTGGGGGCGTTCCTGTTTATAGCTGGGGAAATGGAAGCTGTACTACTCCCAAGGACACGTAACAAAGTCAGGAATAGAACCCAGGAGTCCTGCCTCCCAGCACTTCCCACAGCTCCAACCACTAGATCCTACTCCCCGCCCAGAACGGGCAATCGAACCCAGGAGTCCTGACTCCCAGCCCTGCCCTGATCCAACCACTCTGCCTCCCAGTCTCTGCCTCCCAGCCCCCTGCTGCTCCCTGGTGCTTTACAGACAGTAACTAAGGGAACGGCTCCGGGGAGCTCCTCTAGTGCAGACTCGGCCTGTGCCTTGGCGCAGATGGGTGAGTGAGGCATGGAGAGGGACTGAGGCTTGCCAAGGTCACGGAGCCCCCAACCCTGTCACCCAGGGCCCCGTCAAGGAACTAACCCCTCTCCGGGGCAGAGCAAAGCAGCTGAGGAGTGTTCCTGTGTGGTTCCCTTTTAATCCATCAGCCTGTCACTGAGAAGCCAGCTCCTCTTGCCCAGTGTTGATATAGGGCCTAACCAAAACAATGGGGACAGAAGGGCCAGGGGCTGAGTGGTGCCAGAGCCAAACCCCTCTGCTCCTCTCCCCATGCAGGGTATTCTGTGGCTGTCGGTGAGTTCAGCGGGGATTCCACCGAAGGTACTGCCGTTCTGGGCTCTCTGGAGGGGGGGAAGGGAGAGTAAATGCTGAATGCCCCCCCAAGTTCTGCCCCTGTAGACATGGCAGGGTCAGTCCTGGGGCAGAACAAGTACTGGTTGGAGCCCAGGTGCTCTGAAGAAGCAGTTGCTATGGAGGAGGCTGAGCTGACGCTCCTGGGTCTGGCCAGCCGGGCTAGGAAGCTGCACAGGGCAGGCTGGCTCCCACCCTGGGGCCTGGCTGGGCCCAGCATAAAAGGCAGAAATGAGCGTGCCATGCCGCCCTGGATGGGGTTCGAACCCAGCACCTCCAGTGCCCTGCCCTCAGAGCAGCCAGATAGGCTGTTACCCTGGTAGGCCAGCCGCTATGACGTGCTCGCCCCAGGTTACTTGAGCAATAGCCGGACAGCTGAGCTGGGGCGACTTGAGGGGTTGGGGTCCAGGGCTCTGGTTCGATCTGCCAGTCCTCCCGCACTGAGACAGTGAGTGAGCCATCAGTGGGTGCAGGGTGGCAGATGGATCGATGGACTCTGTGCAGATCTGAACCCTGGCTGGGCTGGGGCTTCAGCCCCCTGGAGTTTGGGCTCTAGAATTCTCCCCCCCACCTCACCCCCCATGTGGGTGAACTGCTTTACCGTGGGATGTGGCGTTGGACAGCCCAGGGTCACACCTGCCTGGGGTGCTGGCCTGGCTTTGTCTGTGTCGTCCATCCCACCCCAGCATCCCACAGGCTGAGCTGCCCCCAGGGACCCGCCTGGAGCTAACGGACCCGTATCTCTTTGCTCCTTTGCAGACTTTGTGGCTGGCGTTCCCAAGGGAAACCTGACCTACGGCTACGTAAGATCCCGAGCTGGGGCAGTAGGGTGGGGGGGTTCCTCCCCTGGGGGCCAGAGGAGTCCCCCGTCTCTGCGCCTGGCTGCACCCAAATGCTCCGGGTCTCTTCTTTTCCAACGACATCTCTGCTAGACTGGGCCCTCCCTCTACCTGTCCTGGGAGCCCCTCGCACCAGGCTGGCTTGGGCTCTTGCTCCCAGTGCTGCTGCACCCCCCAGAAGTGGATGGTTTGGCCCCTTTCTCCTACCCCTGCTCTCACCAGCTTGGCTTTGCCTCACCATTGGGCTCTCGCACCCCAGGGGTGTCTGCAGGGCGGGGGGTGCGGTGCTCATGTCATCAGCAGTTGCTTGCAGGATGGCGGGGCGGGGCGGGGTCCACGGTACAAGCTCCCCTACCCCCAAGCATGGACCTTGCTAAGCCCCACAATCCTGCTGATTTGGTCATTTCCATAGTAACTAACACACTGCCCCGGGCAGGGCTGAGGGCACATCTACACTGCGACTAAACACCCACGGCCGGCCGGGCCGGCTGACTCAGACTAAGGGGCTCTTTAATTGTGGGGTAGATGCTGAGCCTTCCCACCTCACTGGGTCCTAGAGCCTGGGTGCCAGCCCAAGCCCTGACATCTGCCCCATACTGTGACTGAGCGAAGCCTGAGCCAAGACCGGGGGTGAAGAAACGGAGGGTGGAGATGGCGTGGAGGAAGTAGCGGCCCGGCCCGGCCCACCCAGGGCTTTGTGGTCACCCCCACGCATGTGACCTCATCACCCGCTCTGTCGACATCACAGGCCCTTCCTGTGACCTGCCCAGGAATCCTGCTGTGCGGCAGAGTGACTGCCCGAGTCCTGCCAAGGATCCCAAACTCCCACCGCTTAAAGATGACAGGGGAGGTTTTAGAGGAGAAATGGGACTTAGCACCCTGGATTCTGCTCTCTGCTCTGGGGGGAGTGGGGTCTAGTGGTTA